GTTGGGACATCCTTAAAATAGCCCCAGTTTGAGGTCATAAACAGCATCAGAAAAAAAGAGGTTTCGAAGAAAAAATGGAGGCCGAATGGAAGATGTTGTTTTGGCAAATATCTTAATTGAAAATTAACCGAGCTAAGAAAATCTGAATAATTATTTTAATTAATTAATTTTGCGGCACGGAAGCTATTAAAATATTCTTCGGATTATTAAATAGACACAGTGTGTCTAATTAAGTTGGAAACATGGAATTTTACAGAGAAAAGTGATTGTTTTTGAAAATATATGAATGTTCTAAAATATAAAATACAATGAAAAATAGAAAAAAATATGAATTTTGCTCAAGAGTTAAGTACCTTTATTTTTAACAATATGGAAAAAAAGTTGATCATGACTAGATGCTGCGTTATTCTTTTGATAAAGAATTTTTTTTTCGTAAAACTAATATTAAAAAAGCTTCATATGCTGTATACGTAAGCTTATATGAACGTATAGGAAAATGGGCGAAAGTAAAATATAATTTTTGAAAGGAGTAATGTTCAGTTTGCAAAAAAATTAACCTCGACTATGGACAAACAGTAGAATGGTATTTGTTTATACGGTACCAATAGAATAAAATATACTTAGTTAAGGTCATTACCATTAAGAAAAATGTCACATGCATATTTTAAATCGATGACTAACTATTGCGGATCGCCTTTAAGAGTTTTACATTTGGCATGCAGATCGTTTCTACTTTAAATACTATGACGAATGTCCGATTTAATTCACTGCCCAGTGAAACTACGATTTTTGGGGCCTATAGAACCAAGTGCTTAGTCACGCAAATTTTCTTGAAAGGATTATAATTAGTGTTAATCCGAACCAATTTTGTACAAATTACTTTGTAGATGAATTCTCCTTCTATGGCTAATTCTAAGTCTTCACTTTTCCTCAATTTTCAGTGATTCATGACATCAATAAACAGCCCTAACATGATTTGAGCGTTTTCATTTGCAAAAACTCAATAAACAAAAAAAATAGAAGTAAATATACTGAGCCATATGCAGCAATTTTTCGAAATTCGCATCAGCACGTGTGGTTTTCATAATAAATTTGGGTAAATATTTGGTTTCATGTGTTACTAGCCATTTTCGATCAATTGTTTGAAAATTTCAAATCTAGAATATACAATTTTTGCAGCTGGCATACTGATTACGAT